TATATGCTTAAATCAGTCCGTGCATGAGGAAAGTTCACATGAACATACGCAGTGCTTATATGAGAGGAACTGCACATTGACGGTCGTCGCGTCGTCCCTCCGCCTTAACTCCGACCTTCAGACACAACTCACTGCGGACCAGCAATATAGACGTACAAATTAGATTAAGACAACATCGGAATGGAATATATTACTGAATGTATGTTATGTTCTGTTGATATGTTTGACTCAAAACAGTGGAGGAATTATGTTTAATCCGCAGTTTTTTTTATCGATATTCACTGTATTCGTTGACATTCAGGTTTATTAAGTTTTGATGGGAATATGGGAGACAGGAAGCAGTCAGTGTTAGGTAGAAGGAGAAAAAAAAACCAAAAGTTAGAGATTTTTAAAGACAAATGCAGGTCTCTCCGTGAAGCTAGTATTTAAAGTATATTAGCAATCGAATTCTACAGTAGTACCATCGTAGTACATGATGCCTCGTGACCTGCAAAGGATTATAGGAACGCCACGCCAACATTTTTTTAACACGTTGGTGACCCCTGGCTTACTATGAGGACTGTCAAAATGTTCTAAAGACGTCTAATCAGTTGCCATTTGTTTATACTTCATTCATGTTGTTTTCACCAAGAGATACTTAAGTTGCCAAATGAGTCATTTATTTATAATAACTAATAACTATTATAACATGAACGAAGTGTGTTTGCACCTCCTCCAGGCTCTGTTTACATCCACAACACTATGTAAACTATGTTACAGAGGGATTTATTGCAGTAAGTGGATGAAGGCTCAGGGTAAGTACTCAGCAGTGTATCTAAGGAGAGAAATTTTACTTCTGTCTGCTATTGTACTACACCTACTCCACACGCAGGTCTGATAAAAATCTTTTTACAGAGCAAAGCAGCACTAAAAGGCAGGTGTCAACAGCAACAGTAAATACTGATAAACAGCTGGCCTCAGAGTCGGAGGAGCTCAGGACAGATCTCATACCAAGATGAGTATTTTGGTCATTTGTGGATGACATGTTACAGTTATCATTTGAAGTATTCTAGAATTATTATTTTTTGCACATTGAACTTGAGCATTGTCATGTGTTAAATGTTAGAAATGCAGTGACAAACGAAGCCACGGTTCACTTTGGAATATGCTCATATAATAGGGCGCCATCGTTTTATTGCCAAAGCAAACATTGACATTACTTTTTTTTCTAAAGCACATTCACTGACCTTCTACTGGGGCCGGCTGCTCTGGCTACCACCGTGTCACATGACGTTAATTTCCTGTTTACTGGCAGAAGTCACAGTGAATGTTTTTTTCCCCCGTTATTGTTACATGTCTTACAGGCAGGTATAGCAGAGCCAAAGAAGGAAATGATTGCCTACATTGATCTGTGCAGCAGAGATGACGGGAATCTGTCCTCAAGAAATGGAAACGTCTTCTCTGTTTCACAGAAACATGAGCAAAAAAACTGGTTCCTACATGGTCTTATAAAGCACCTAATACCTTATTTTCCATCTTTACATAAATTATGATCAACATCACTAATAAGGTAATAAGTGCTTTATAATAAAGGGCAAATGATTACTAAGTCAGTTGTAAGTCCGTTTTTAAGAATGACACATTTGTTTCTTGGTAAATAATTACAGATGCCCAAAATTTTCCTTTTTTTTTGGCCGATTCTGATTAAATTCTTACAATCACTGGCTGGTCAATTGGTACATCTCTATAAATATTGTTTGTTTTACATCATGTTTATACATCCTGCCTTCCTTTTTATGGTATTGTCACCAATCGTTGAATGTCAGTGTCGTAGATATTAATAATAGATCCTGCAGTCAAGGTGACCTGTATGAATAATGTGAGAAAACTGGTTATTATTGGATGAACTTTCTTTTCTTTTTTGTCATTTAAACCTCAGTTACTCCTTGATATATGTAATGTATTGTCATATGCAGTTTTTTTTTTTACTGTATGTTTTTGTATTTTAAATTTGAGCAGATTGTCAGCAGCCCGACTGCATCGCCACCATGAGTTACAGCATCCTCCGACATAAGAGGCTGTTTTACAACTGCCTAGAATGTGGGCACTGTTGCTGAATAAAGAGGACGGAGAGGCAGACTTGTGCATCATGTGTCGTCAGATGGAGATGTTTGTGTCACTTTTCAGATGTTTGTGTCAACCGTTGCAGGTTGTGCAGCGCAGCCACATGTCAGCTGTCACTGAAGGAACCGTCTCACCAGCCGGGGTCGTCTCGGGGGATTGAAGCATCGACCTTGCAAAGCAGGAGAAACCAGGTAATACTGTACACTTGACATTTGTATTAAACAGAAAAGGTAAAAAAAAATCAACAGACAAATCTTGTATTTTTAGATTTAAATTTTTAGATTTAAAAATATACTCCCTACTCTCACCACGGTAACCTCTTCCTCCAAGATGTATAAAAGATCAAAATGAGCTCTACCCTATATTGATGTGCTTTGTGGGTACAAGAGTGTTTGTGATAAAGTTAACAGAGCTGCTCTAATGACAGGATCTGGGTGTTTAATTAATATTTTGGTGGTATAAATCCGTCATGTAACTTTATATAGACTGATTCAGAGTCAGTTTGTTTGGTAATCAGGAGCTCTTTGGTGCATCTGCTCTACCACAGCTGAGAGCAATCAGCGTGGACATCCTGGAGTTTATAAAAACAGGTTTGTGTTCACTGTCGACAACTGCTACTGAATCTGTTCTGTGGCTGTTTGTGGGGAGGAAGAAAAAAAAAGCAAAACGTTATAAACTAGCTTGCTTTCTTGTGTTACAGCATATAATGGAGGGAAAAGTTTTAAAAAAATATGAAGAACCACCGGTGGATGTGAACATAGCTCTCTCATTTTCTTATAAAATGTATTTGTATGGTGATGGGTCAAGGATGTCATAAATTGAAGACCCTCTATAATCAGTTTTCTTAGTGTCCTGAATTTTAATGCCTGAAAAAAATGTACTACTTATATAGTTTCCCACGATACATTGGACCCAAATAGACGTGGGTAGAAAAAAATCCTAAATCTTAACTAAAATGATGTTTATCCAGCTATACGATGATAACTATATTTTATTTTTTATTTTATATCTTATGCATTTGATCCTACAAACATCAGTTGTTAAAAAAAACAGACGTGCACATAGCCACCGACGAGCAGGTAAATAGTTCAAGTCAAGGTGTTCATTGTAATCTTTATTACATTCTTCTTCAGGCTGTGGTTCCATGGCACAAAGCACAAAGTTTCCTGGGTTAATACATTTATTTTGAATACTTGGGTTTAAAAAAAGGCTGCAACAAAAGAGTGGTGTACAGTTGTGGTAAAAGTATCGACCTGCCTAAAGTATTCCACAAATTTGAGATACTGCTATGGCTATGTATTTCTACCTTATGGCAGTTTCGCACATTCGTAAAGCAGATGCAGATGAGACTTTATGTCACTTGTAGCCGAACAGCCCTTTGACGGATCCATTTGTCTTCTGTTTTTATGCAGGAGGTGAAATTTATTCTGCTTTGCAAAAAAAAATGCTGACATCATTGCGTACATACTGTTTACGACCTCTGTAATCCAGTCAACCCTAACAGAGTTATTTGGTTTTGCTTAATTACAAGACGAGATAAAATGGAGGAGATAAAACCCCACATCAGAGTTGATTTCTGCTAACACATTTTTTTTAAACAATCTTTCCAGATACAGCTACGTGAGAAACATTTACTACTCCGAGGCCTGAACAATGTCTGAAAGTGAAACTCTGAAGATTTATCTCCAGCCTAACTCTGCTAAAGTATTGTTCTTTTTTTCATATTTTTTTTCAATTTATAGCTGAGTCGTGTATTGTATTGTCATCCATCTTTTGAAGTGAATCCATGGGAAATGACATCTGCAGCTCCTTTGTAAAATTCAAAAAAATGCATGCATCAGTAGATGCCTGTGAGCTTCAAGAGGAGACCATCTTCTGCTGTCATCTTTGAAGTCCCAGCGATAAGTCATCACATCTTCCAGGCTGCCGCTCCAAGTCGGAGGTTGCCAAAAGTCATAGGAAGCTAGGTTTGCGCGGCTGCCCTCATCTCAGCTCTCTGAACAGCCAAAGACTTCCTCCGCTGCACAGACGATGCCGCGGCCTCCGTGATGCCGTGGTAGCTGTCCGTCTCCTGAGAGTCATCGCTATTCTGCGACTTTGTGCTGTCCTGAGAGTCGGGCTTCTGCCTCGCCGCCCGGCTCTGCTCCTCCTTCAGCTCCACGTAGGAGCGGGAGAAGGTGTGAAAGATGGACGTGACGGGGAAAGCCATGAGAAGGATGCCACTCAGTATGCTGCTGAGCGCCACCACTTGGCCAGGGATGCTCCTGGGCACCATGTCCCCATAGCCCACGGTGGTCATGGAGATCACTGCCCACCAGTAGCTCCCAGGGATGCTGGTGAACTCCTGCTTGGCCCCCATTTCGCTTTCAGCTAAAAAGACCAGCGGAGAGTAAAGGGCCATGGCCACACAGAGGAACAGGAGCAAGAGGCCGAACTCCCGTGTGCATCTCCTCACCGTCAGACCAAGTGTCTGCAGGCCCAAGGAGTGCCGTGCCAACCTCATGACGTAGAAGATCCTGAGGGCCCGCAGCACCCGGAGGACCAATCCCACCTTCTCCAGGTAGTTATTCCCTGACCCCACCTGTTTCCCTCCCACCGAGAGCGAGTCCACGATGAGCGTGACGTAGTAAGGGAGGATGGCCACCACGTCGATGACGTTCAAAGGCGTGCGCAGGAACAT